CTAAGTTCAGTAGCAGGTTTGGTTGCACCAATGGGTCTTATCACATTATCAGATAAGTACAAGAAAATAGTACTCCAAGCAGGTTCATCAAGTTCAGTTTTCTTAGCAGTAGTCATTTCAGGCGGCCAAGATCCATCTAAGGCCCTACCACACTTCATTTGCATTAAAATAGTTTTCATCTTTTGACTCCACATATTAAAATCAATTTTCTCATCAAATTGTGCAACTTCAAACTTAGCAGAGGCCATACACAGGATGCACATGTATGAGTCAAAGTATAAAGCAATACAAGTAAGACTAAGTAACAGTCAATTAGATTCACAAATGTAGTACACAGTTCACAGATTTTCACAGATTTTATCACACAACGTTTATGCAGATCAAAGACAGATGAGGGACACAACACCAGAGATCACACAGGCTATATTTCAGTGATTTCTCCTACAAGATTCTTCTAATACACACCCGTACTGGATTTATCTAAGATTCACAAGACCACGCAGGATCCTTTGGACAAAGATTAGTCTCCAGGGGCTATTTGTGTATGGTAAATTAAGGGAAATATCAAGAAACGCCTAATATTGAAAAGTAAACTTTTCGAAAAAATTAAAAAAGATCTCACCTAACGAGTATTTTCCAACTCAGTGTCCTTCAATACTGCTTAATTGCAGTTCCAAAAATTCAGATCTGCAACAGATCAACTTTCTTCGAAGATCCAGGTATCCTGCTCTCAATCCAAACTCTAATACCACTGAAAGTCCCAGACTCACATATATTAGAATCAAGATATAAGAATCTTAAATCGACAGAAAATTAAATCTGCAGAAAGTAAGATGAACACAACAGATTTTTTGGCCTAAGCCCTAGAGGTTCGGTATAAACCTAATCCCCTGTTGAGCATCCACAAAAGGATAACTCTTGTTCGGTATACACCTAATCCCCTGTTGAGCATCCACAAAAGGATAACTCTCGGTTGCACTATACCGCCTTAAAACTGGCAACAATGGTTACAAGAGTTCAGCTAAATACAAGAATACAGTTTAGTAACTTATCTCTTCAAAGGTTTCAACAGATCTGGGTTGAATCACTCAAGAATCACCAGATCTAACAACCCAAATGTTACACCAGAAAGAACCCAACGTTCTGACGGCTTTCCACACAAGGAAATCAATATTCTAAGGCTAACCCTCAAGAACAATGAAATGAGAGATTTTACAGAGAATCAGAATCGAATGAAACCCAAATCAAAAGAGGCAGAAGAACTCTCTCGAAACCCTAGCCAAAGTATAAAAGCCAGAGAAATTAGAAAACCGCACTAGCTGAACAGTCAACCAAGTATATATATCTCAGTGTCGAAGTTCCATCCAACAGTCAGCAACGGGACAAATGTCAAGATCCAATAAAACAGCTCATTAAGTAAAACCTTATTTTGCAAACATGATTTTAGGCTGAAAATATAAGGTAGCACAAAACGCCAGGGTTCGAATCTCCAACAGTGGAGCAGCTGAGGCAGCACCTGCTGCTGAGGAGAAGAAGGAAGGGAAAGAGGAAAGTGACGACGACATGGGATTCTCTCTCTTTGATTAGTATATATTTGTTTCGTCTACTTATTGTTGCCTACATCTAAATGTTACTAATTGGTTAAGCTGAAATTTTGATGAAATGAGTTATGGGTTTACAGACATTGCTTGCTTTTATTGGGTATTGATTATCTGGTGAATGATTGGTTAGCATAACTGTATTTTTCAGTTGTGTTTACCTCTCTCTGCTATAAATTTGAGATGGCCATGGATATGCATTTTCTACTTGTCATTGAATCGGCCCCCTAAGCTTCTATTTTCGCATTTTTTTTATTTTTTATTTTTGGAAGAGGGGCGCTGAAGTAGCTTTTTCGGTGAAGAAATGTTTTCACATCTTTATTACTAAGTGATGTGTGCTTTCATGTTTGATTATTCATCCAAGTAACTACATATTTCATACATAGAACTATACAAAATTTTAGCAGGGAATTTATGAAGATAGGTATTAGGGGGGTTAATGCAAAGGTAACCTTATCTAATGAATCAAATGAGAGATTTTACAGAGAATCAGAATCGAATGAAACCCTAATCAAAAGAGGCAGAAGAACTCTCTCGAAACCCTAACCAAAGTCGAAAAGCCAGAGAAATTAGAAAACCGCACTAGCTGAACAGTCAACCAAGTATATATATCTCAGTGTCCAAGTTCCATCCAACAGTTAGCAACGGGACAAATGTCAAGATCCAATAAAATAGCTCATTAAGTAAAACCGTATTTTGCAAACACGACTTTAGGCTGAAAATATAAGGTAGCACAAAACGCAAGGGTTCGAATCTCCAACAGTGGAGCAGCTGAGGCAGCACCTGCTGCTGAGGAGAAGAATGAAGAGAAAGAGGAAAGTGACGACGACATGGGATTCTCTCTCTTTGATTAGTATATATTTGTTTCGTCTACTTATTGTTGCCTACATCTAAATGTTACTAATTGGTTAAGCTGAAATTTTGATGATATGAGTTATGGGTTTACAGACATTGCTTGCTTTTATTGGGTATTGAATATCTGGTGAATGATTGGTTAGCATAACTGTATTTTTCAGTTGTGTTTACCTCTCTCTGCTATAAATTTGAGATGGCCATGGATATGCATTTTCTACTTGTCATTGAATCGGCCCCTAAGCTTCTATTTTCGCATTTTTTTATTTTTTATTTTTGGAAGAGGGGCGCTGAAGCAGCTTTTTCGGTGAAGAAATGTTTTCACATCTTTATTACTAAGTGATGTGTGCTTTCATGTTTGATTATTCATCCAAGTAACTACATATTTCATACATGGAACTATACAAAATTTTAGCAGGGAATTTATGAAGATAGGTATTAGGGTTAATGCAAAGGTAACCTTATCNATTAGGGGGGTTAATGCAAAGGTAACCTTATCTCTGATTTTTCCTTAGAGCCTCTGATTTAGCTGTTCTCTTAATATTAGCTAAGCTCAGCTCATCTATGCTTGCCCTTGTTCACGCTGACTTTAACGTATGGACAGTTCTGGGTGGGACTTTATGCACTCAAGTATTTTCTGATTAGAGTTTCTGTGGTACCTCCAATATGCTTTGATCTATTTGTCATTTAGGTTCAATCCTTGCTGTTTGTTTAGTGCTGGAGCGAAGATATGGTTGATTAAGCCTGCTTTTTCACACAACCATTCCTCCAAAACCAAATAGTTGACGTTATGACTCTCGAATATCAATTGGGTAAACCTATAACTTCACTAGAAACCTACAAAACAAGGGAATGTCAGGTGGCTGGGCCATTGAAAAAGTGGGCCACGTCTGTGAACACATTCAAATGCTTAAGCTGGTTGTGTAGCATTTCAGAGAGGATGAAATTCAATGAGCTTTAGAGAATTTCTGAACTACTTTCTGCATGGTGCGACCGTGTATATATAGAATGAGGTTATCAGGTTGGATAAGGGACCCGTGCAATCCCTAAGATTGCCATCCGTATAGTTAGTAACTTGTTACCCGGGGAGACTTGCAAACATGCACAAGCTTTTTTCGATGCCAAGCAACTGGGATCCTGAGCTACACTTTTGGTTCTGAACTTCTCAAGACAACTTTAGGAAGGACCGTGTCCGAGCTCTTCTGTTCCGTGCTGACTTGTGCTGTGGTCAATCATGTGGGGCTGACTGTCCATACAACGTCTGCACCTTCCTCTCAAAACAGCCGTCTACATTGCTTTGCTGACTTCCATGTCAGCTCTGTGGATCTCAAGTTACCACGTATCTCCCAATTGGGACGTCAATTTTTAAGTAGTTGAATTTCAAGAGTTCGCAACTTCGTGTTAAGTTTCCATTGAAGAAATTTTCAGTCTAGATTTGATGCTTACGTGAATAACTGGGGTTATTATTAGACTTTTGGGGACACAAACAACGTTTAACTATCTTGTCTGTCCCTTTCTGTCTAGGCAGTGAGAAACTGCAAGTGATCCACGATAGCTCTTCTTCCTGTTGCTTGACCAGTAATCTACGATATTAATGGATATGGATCGTTTAGTAGTTGCTTTGCCCCTTTAATTTGTACTGATATGTTTTATAGGTTTATCTCCGAGTCGGGTTATTGCACAAAATGACATTGTAGATAATCCAACCAAATTGAATGAATTAAGAGTTCTTTCAAAGGACAACCTTTCAATATGGAACAAATGCCTGTAGGAGTAGTATCACAAGGTATTCGCTATATGGTTTGATAGCTGAAATATATGAAATTTTTGTGAAATATATTTCAATTCGTTCTTACACGCTAATGGTGTGGTTGCAACGATTCTTGACGTCAGATTAGGGATGTCAATATAGTTTGTTGGTTAGAGCGGCTCAAGGCTTGGCCCGAGAAAAGCCCGAGCAAGGCCGGCTCTTGGCTCGGTGAGACCGAGCTGAGCCCCATTTTGGGGTGTCGGCATGACGAGCCAGCTCAAATCTTAAAAAAATATATATTTTAGAAATACAACTACATGCATTTGCAGGCAACTAAAAATGGTTGCAGGCAGCTGTTTTTATTTATTTATTTTTAATTTTAACTGTATTTTTTTTATATGTTAATATTTAGTTATTATTTATAATACGTATAAATAGCACAAATTTTAAATTTATTTTTTAAAAAAATTAGATTTATAACAAATTTAAAAAAAATAATAAAAAATTGAGCCTACTCGGCACACTAAGACTCGAGTTGAAAGTTCGGGCCGTGCCTAATTTTTTTGGTCTAGCTTTTGCTTGGCTTGGCTCAGGCCAAAAGCCAAAAAAAGTTCGAACCATTTTTACCCGAGCCAAGTCCGAGTTTTGAGTTTCGGTTAGTGGCTCAACTTGGCTTAGCTCGTTGACACCCCCACATCATATAGATCTTACCATGGAGAATATGAATATTTGATTTAAAAGAACATTCCAAACCTAATTTTGGGATCACCAAACGCATATTTGTATTGATTATACTGTGAAAAAAATGGATTAATCTTCTCTGATAAGTGAACATGTCGATTAAATACTTATTTTGAATTCAATCAATGTAGCATACAACGAGGAGAATACAAATACTAAGAAACATAATTTCACAGTGAAACAAAGCCAACAATTAACAAACCTCAAGGGCACACACAATTCACTAAATTTTACATAGTTGAAAGCTCAAATCTTTCCTGACTGGGCATCAAGTACACAAGTAGTTTCTAGGCACGAGACAAAGTGCATTCTTCTTATGCATTGTAATTCCTGGCAAAACGTCTGTATCAATGTCTTCGGCCTTCATCCCATGAGGCAATTCCCAGTCGAATGAGTAGAGAAGATTGGCAAGTGCAAGCTCCACTGTTGCAAGTCCTAGAGACATTCCGGGGCACTGTCTCCTACCGGATCCAAATGGGATCAACTCGAAATCCTGACCTTTGATGTCAACAGAACTATTTAAGAATCTTTCAGGCCAGAATTCCATTGGATTTTCCCAATACTCGGGATCTCTTGCAATGGCCCATGCATTGATGTAAACAAAGGTTTTGGGTTGGATTTCATATCCCTCTATAACGCAGCTTTTCATTGTTTCTCTTGGCAATAGAAGTGGAGTTGGAGGGTACAATCTGAAAGTCTCCTTTATTACTGCTTTTAGATAGGGAAGTTTCCCCAAATCATATTCGTCCACTCGACCTTTATTTCCAACCCGATCTCTGATTTCTTCCTGTACTTTCTTCATCGCGTTTGGAGTCTTTATCAGGACTGCCAGTGCCCAAATTATCGTTGCTGCACTCGTGTCCGTTCCAGCAACAAATATATTCTATCAAGTAGCACAAAAAAACATGTCACTTGTTTAAACATTGTCTAAAGACAGAGATTTTCATATGTTGAACCAACACTTATTTATTGAAGATTAGTCTTCATCATTATTGAAAGCTGATTACTTACCATGAGTACTGCTTTTATATGATCCAGGGTGAGCTCCAGTGAACTTGATTGTTGTTCTTTTAGCTGGATCAAGAGATCAAGAATATCCTTATTCATCGATTTTGACCTGTTAGGCTTCAGGTGCTCGTCGATGAGTTCTTGATAGAACGAATCCAAGTTTTGGAATGTCTTCTCAAGTCGAGTTGCCATACCAGAGAGTTTATCCACCCAACTGAATGAAGGTAAGTAATCAGAAACAAATAACCCACCCTGCATAGCCTGAGCTTCATACATAAGTTCATCGAATTTCTTAACTTCTGATCCTTCCTGATCATCAAACTTCTTTCCAAAAGCAATTCTACAGATTAAACTGCTTGTGAAAGACAATACTATTTCACTTAGGTTAGTGAGATTATCATGATTTGAATGCGCCAAATCCGATATCCTCCTGATCATACTAAGAACTTCATCTTCCCGAACCGGTGTAAAGGATTGCACTTGTTTATTGCTCAAGAGATGATGAACACAGATTTTCCTAGTTTCCCTCCAAGATTCGCCGTAATGCGCGAAAGCTACATCCAAGCCATTGTAGGATAATTTTTGAAGGCTAAGAAATTCAGGCCTGCTACTGAAAGTGAGATCATGGGTTTTAAGTACTTCTTTGGCCATTTTTGCTGAAGAAACCACAAGTACTGGCCTAGAACCAAGCTTCATGGACATTAGAGGACCATATTTCTTTGCAAGTTTCCATAGATATAGATGAGGAGAGGCAGTATCAAATTGGAGCAGATTTCCAATGAATGGGAGACATGGAGGACCTGGTGGAAGAAAGGATTTCTTCACCAATCTTTTCTGGTTCAGAATCAGGAAAAAGAAAATAGCAGATAAAGATGGTAATAGGAAGTATAGGATCATTTTAGAGTCTTGATTCGAGTATGGAAAATTGAGAATGAGAATTTCTGAAAATCAAACTGCCTTTAGCACAGAATGAATTGTTGGTAAGGATATGTATATGAGATGCCCGGGGCACTGAATTTAAAAGTTAGGGGCACAATCGAACTTGCAAAGATATTGAGAGAAATTTTACAATCGAAAATTTATGTCCAAAAAAATCATACCCCATGTAATTTTGCATTCGAAAATTTACATGGGGATTCTTGTTTTTATTGCTAACTATTAGTAGTTTTGGCAGAATTATGTATGGGATAAGTCTACTTGTACATAATTTTTGGCCATAATAGTTCATATAACACTCACATGGGGTGGGGCCCACATTTTGGTTTGCCCCATCCCATGTGAGTGTTATGTGAACCCATATGGATAAAAATTATGTACTCATAGCATCACTCTAAATTTCAACTACAATTATGTTATATGTACATTATTTTTTACATTGTGTCACGTGACAACACGCCATTGAACAAAAAAAAACACATTTTTCCTCTCACAACTTTTTGAACTCCAATGAGATATACATAATGATGTCAACCAAACAATGTACACCTGCATTATTCTTTTGACTAATAGTCATTAATTGAAAATAATTAATTTTTCTTTCTCCATAATATGTCAGACACAAAAATGGCCAATATAGATTTATGCTTCTTTGTGCTTATTACTGTCAGTAATCCTTACTATGAATATCATTATTCTTTTCTACTTTATTTTAGTTTTGTAACATGTTGACGAATGCTCTTATTTATGCTAAAGAAAAAAAAGTACTATGTAAGTCATTATTCACACAGTACAGCAAAACTGTGTTCTTTTCAATAAATTTATATTCAATTCAATTTTGTTCTTAAAAGTTGTCCCCACACCTACGTTGTTGTTTCATAAGAGAATAATTCCATTTGTACAGAAACATTTCAATAGAAATGCACCAGAATACTCACAATGGGATGAGCTCCATCGTGTATTTAATATATAAAAAAATTCTCGAGCCCCACATGGTGTGAGTTTTCTGTAGAATTTCTGGTGCATTTGCTTCTGTACATGAAGCAGCCTTCTTCATAAGAATACATGAAAATATCTAATCAAGAAAGCATGAACCTAATCTTATAAACAAGAATCAAGTCAATATGGGCTACAAAATCTATAGACTACCCTAAGTTTTTAAAATATGTCAAATCGGAAAATTATTTCAATTTTATTGCACTTATTCTCCTACAACTAATCTAACTATAGACTCGTTTGAGCCCCGTTAAATTGGAAAAATACATTTTCAAATAATAAATCGATGGAAAATGTGTTGTTAAAAAATAAGGAAAAATTTTGAATTTGCACGTAACATTATTTTATTGAAAAATGTGTTATTGAAAAGAAGAGAGAAAATTAATATTTTAGACAAACTATGGTCTTGATGTTGCTAAAGAAACACAATCCAAATATAAATATATTCAAAAAGAATATTATTTTCTTAATAGATGAATATTGTGCTCGACCTGAAGAACAATTTTATGTGAATCAGTATCTCTAGCATAGTGTTATTGCTTCAAAAGAAATATGTTTTATATTATATTAATATTTTAAAAGAATATGATTTATTATTTCGAAAGAAAGCACAACTTTATGCATACAAATATTCAAGAAGATTATTGTATTGTTGCTTATGTACATAACGAATTTATCAAGATTCAACTCAAATTAAGGTCCTGTTTGGGAGGGATTCTCAAAATTTTACATTAAATCAATTCTCATTTNTTTCTGATTGTTAAATCAATTCTCATTTTCAACCACACATTTTTCAATAAAATAATATTTTCCATCACATCAATCATTTTTTCTTCTTTTTCAACCACACATTTCCCATCATATCACTATTCAAAATCAATTGTTCCCCCAAAAATCCCTCCCAAACACGCACTAATTAATAACGAAATCAATCAAATGCATTTTGTATCATTTCGTGTAATCGAATTTTTCGAAATTTGATTTTAAATGAAGTTTTCAAAGTAACATTTTTTTTTCTTTAATAAAAGGTTGTAACATTCTAGAATATTGCCATGATGTTACATAAAAGTGATTTTCTTTCTTAACCACTTGTTCCGTTGGCTATCCTCGTACATGTAAAAGTAATGGCTGCGGAGTCACCTCGATTGTGAAAAACTTAAACGTGGAATGAACCAGCTTAGTGGTACTGGTACCCACACTGGAATATTTTTGTATTTATGTGGATATAAAAGAGCAAATAATGACTGGTCCTAAAGGAGAGGACAATGTATGTGAAGAAGAATTTAGGATGCATGTGCAACTTTCCAGCAAAAATAAGTTGGAAGGGCTGATAAATGTGCTTGTAACACCACAAAATGACATTTCCACATGCGATGTTGGATTCAAAAGCGAATCTACCCACTTTAGAACTGTGTAACTCTCTGCTGGAATTAGTATCTCTAAATCCCATCCGCAGTGTGTCATCGTGGATGCAGATATTTTGAGTTAGAGGAGTACAATCAAACTTGCAAAAAAGTTGTGAGGAATTTTACATTCGAAAATTTACATATAAAAGAATCACACTCTACATAATTTTACATCTGCAAATTTACATGGGGTATGACTTTTTCGGATGTAAAGTTCGATTTTATTTTTTTTTTTTGTCATATCCCACGTAAAATTACCTTTTAAAATGATGTAAAATATTGAGAAATTTGTATCGCAATAATAATAATAATTAATTAATTTTTTTAAAACACGAATTAAGCATCTCTTTTTGAAACATACATTGGACACATCTTTAATGAATTCGGCCACCGTCGGAGAATTTTTGAAGTTTAAATGTTATCAAAATTCCCGAAATACTAGTTTGGAACGACTTACTTTGACAAGTTGTAACATTTGCTACAATTTGCCGTTTCATGTGTCATACGACGTAGAAAACTAGATCGTAAGTACTTCAAAATGATATTAAGAATACAATATTTTGACTTCATTGGACATTCCATAATGATTTCAAAAATTGAGACAAGGACATAAGGAAAAAGAAAAAAAAAAATTGGCCCCAAAGTTCACGGTCACGTGACCCCCATGCCACCCCCAGTGTCCGCCGATGAGCATCCCCCAACGAAGGACACTTGTTTTGTTCTGTTACCATTGTTACAAGTTTGGGAGTAGAACTTGTTAAAACCAAGTTCTAAAGGAAGGTACTTAATGTGCTTAAATTCCCCTCTCGATTTACAAAGATGGGCTCTAAAAATAACTCAGTTTATGAAGATCACCAGATGAATGACCTTTACATTTTTGGTTTGTAAGACCTCTTGCGACTCCTTTTTGTTTCTAACTGTTGAAATCAACTATTNAAAACCCACCCCCCCCCCCCCCCAACACACCCCACCGGAGCAGCTACTTCATACTTCGCGGCTTCAAGAATATATGGGAAAGTATGGAATATTGGAAAGCCACACACGGGAATTAATTTTAGAGAAGAAAAAAAAAAGTTATCATCTACAAGCAGCACACTCCAATACATCCCCAAATTCGAGTTGTGCAGAAGAACAATTTACCGTACATGCACTCTGAACTTTACATGTTAACCTACTAATATACAGAGAAGCCCTTTGGAAGAGACAGCAAGAATGGCAGCTCCAGATGGGGCATTAGGATTCTGATGTTTGAATTTCTGCATGCATATAAAATAAGTCGGAAGGGAATAATTTATCATGGAGAAGAAAAAATAATGTCACAAGAATGCAGAATAAAACTTGTACAACATAATCTTCGAATGAAAACAAAAAATTCAATATATCTATTTCTGTATCACATTTGGGTTTATGATCCCTCAGAAAGTACATAAAGCACGGATGGGTTCAATTCCATTCAGACAGACATTATTGAAAACAACGAGGTCTTATAAATCAGTTGAGGATGTTCATGAGTTTGGATAGAGCTAAAAAGTCATTGGACAGGTATCCTATGGTGCGACTCATGCCTAAAAAATATTGACGAGTAGATTTGTTCCAGAACCAGGTTTGTTTCCTGGAAACATGCCTACAGTATATGAATCTCGATCTCTCAATCTCTTTAAAACAATATCCAATATATTATTTCTAATGGCATTTATAACTCAATAAAATGATAATCTTGTACTAAATGACACTTTGATCCTTTCAAAATAGTTCACAGTCCCATCTCCCCGTTAGAAAGCCCCCAATAATTTGCCAAAGAATAGTGCTTGTGAAGACATCAGTGCGCACATTGAAGGAGAGAAGATAAATACATCCAGAAAAATCAATCCGTCCACATCAAGAAATGAGCCAATGATTTATATGCAAATTCTAGTAAATATCTGCTACAAGCTAGAACCCCTAATCATTCGGTAATTTGTTTACAAATGCTGGCATTTTTGCCATTGGTGTATAGTTCACAGAAATCGAATCAATGACTGTATTAGAAGTCAAAAGCACCAAAGATGGGCCTAGCAAGTTCCAAAGTGGCATAAATACCTGGCAACATATAAGATTTAGGGTTTGTTTGAGCCCCATTTTTTTGGAGAATAGATTCGGTAATAGTGATTTTTTAGAGAATGCGGTTAAAAAGTAGGGAATAATTTAGGATTTACGTCTAAAATTCTTTTATCGGGAGAAAGTGTTGTTGAAAATGAATTTGGTAAAAAAGAAGTTTTTAGATAATGGGGCTCAAACAGGGGCTTAATTGAACTGGGGGGACATTGACGTTATGGTACAAATATAAACGATAGCCAATCCCTTCTTCTGAAATTCTCAACCAAAATTTCACAACAATCATGACAAAACCCTAAAGCCTTTTTGCAAAAGGCAGTGGTGAGCTAGATGACTAAAAGCCTATTACTAATATAATATAAGGTCAGACCAGCTTTCTTCGCATGCTTGAGCACCTAACAGCAGAAACTTATAGTGGGTTTAGGCAGAAAGGCATTCCTAGACTCACTCAACCGCCGCCTGTTTGTTGCTTCAACTGATTTAGTAGCAATGTAAAAAAAGAAGATACAGGGTTTGTTCAGAGGTCGAGAGAGAGGATCGTGACTATATTTAGGTCAGTAAATAAGCTTGTTTGAGATAGCTCAAAAACAAAGCAATTCAAACACATTTTAATCCTGTAAATCTTTTAAACTTGGCTGACTAAGCTAATTAGGAAAAACACAAAACAGTACCAACTGCACAATCAAGTTTGGTTTGCCGATATCTGGTTCAAGCTTCATTCAAATACCAAACAAAAACGTACATCACTTTTAATAACACAACAGTGAATAAAATAGAAAGCAAGCAAAAGAAAGTACGCACCTTCTCCGCACAGATGCTCAAATCGAGCAACAATGTGTTTTCCATATGTATACTTCTTTAAAGCAGTAAGATGATTTCTTATTAAACCGTGTAACACTTCCCTCTGATCATTGGTACATTTTTGAAGAATCTTCTGGATGACATAATTTGCATATTGGTCTTTCATCATTATCTAAGGCACAAATATCAAAAGCAGAAACATTTGAGAAGCATAAATGGATGGGTCAGCCAGCGTAGGCAGACTAAAACACACATATGATGACATTAATGATATCTGAAACTCTTATATCACTTCCATGCCATGTAAATCACAGAGGGAACCAAAAAGAAAAAAAGGGAGACGGGGAGAAAGAAAACACATTCTTTGAAATGATCAACAAAAGAAATCAATATCAAATATAATGCAATTGTAGGGCCAGAGCCGGAATATATATTAAAATTAAACAATGTAACCTTAGACATTTACCATCTAAGAAGCACGGATTCGGATACGTAATTCGAATACGACACTATAAGGGTATGCCAATGCAGCTTTTTTTTTTAAAAAAAGTTGGATATGCGGAAGGATATATGAATTAAATACCACAATCTAATTCCAATAATAAAATTATAGTTGTCGATTATTACCAAAATTTTACATGCATTCAAATTTTTAACACTATTATCTATGTTCAATGATAAAATTATAGTTGTCAACTATGAACACGATTTTATATGTATTAAAAGAATTAATATTATTGTTTATTTTCAATAATAAGATTCTAGTTGTCAATTAATTTAAAAGTTTAGTTATCAATTATTTAATACTATGTCCCTTTTGGGCCTAGCTAAAAAGTTTGATTCTAATCTAAATCAAAGTCAATAATTAATTTTAAACCTACATTTCATGAGACCTACAACTTTTCAACCATATATTCCATCAACTTTTATAAAAATCTACTAAAAATTTGATATTTATCTAAACAAAATAGGGGCTATATATTTCCATTAACGAGTGTAAATTGTTGTTATCTATTGATAACAATTTATTAAGTAAAAATACTTTGTCATATATTGCCAATAATAATGAGCTTTAAACAATTTAAATGTGGGAATGCTAAGGATGAAAACTAAAAAATAATAGCTAGGAAAGTTAACCCTTCCAATAGAGCATGACTGGATGCCTTCTACCATAAGTATGAAGCATTGAAGGTCTATGCAAATTTTTAGATAGGCATATTCGTAAAAGTAGCAAATAATTAATTACGAATTTTTTAGTTCAAAGATGCCATATTGAGTTTTATGAGTTTATGATGCTGAACAAGAGAGAGAGAGGAAGAGTCAGAATAAGAGAGGGAGAGATGAATTGGAGGGGAAATTCATTACTTAATATATAAAGTATCAATTCAATAGTCCACATACTTGAAATGCCCTACTCCTATTTATACTTAAAATTTCTAGTGAAAAAGAAAAGTTACCAAACTAACAACTACGGAAAATTCCTAACTTGAGAGAGTCACTCCTGCTCTCAGAGCCAAAGTACAAATGTCGATAACAAGAGAAACCTGGGAAACGATTTATGTGACCTAAAACATATATGTGCTCATGCACCAAATTGAGTACATGAACAGGTGAACCACATAACAGAACAAGATAAAAATGCGGAGGACTCAAACATCAAAAATAACATCATTCATGCTAAATTCTGATGCTTGCATTATTTACCGAGAAAACCAAATCAGTATTACACGATCTACCAATGCATTTTCCACTTAGCAACAGGAACCCACATGAATTTAACAAATGGTTAACACCAAGCTTTAGATTGACATACCAATAAATTATCGTTTTTATCACCATGCCCAATAATCTCCTTTATCAGCATCTCCCTTGCAGTTGAATCACCACACTCCAGACATTTTTCGACAACATTTGATGCAAATTTATGCTGGCTCAGTTGTACTATAGATCCAGTTATTTTGCTAATAATTTGGCTTCTTTCATGAGGCTTTCCCCTCTCTAGTACATGCTGTCATTAGTTAAAAACAATATAAGCAGCATTCACCGATCAAAAACTGGAAGTTTGAATTGAAGCTTTACAATGTGAAAACAAATTCATCATTTCACTAATAAATATTCAATTCAGTCATCATGGAAAACTAAAACACAAAATGGAGGAAATAACATAAGAATGTTGATTCACTTGATCTAAAATTTTAATGATGGAGATGCGTAATGATTTGATATTGAAGATTTATCAAGTTTAGATACTTATTTTAGAAAAGAAATTAGATCTCCCCTTCCTTCTATCTTCTCCCGTCTATTTCTCTTCCCCTTCTACAATTCTGGTTCTCGTTCAATTACATTCATCATAACTTAAGCTGCTACAGAGGTCACGTGTATATGATTTAAATCACAGCCTTATATGCTCACAATTTCATTAATTGAGTGGCGTGAGACTTGAACAAGGACCTTTAACTGCTCTAATACCATATTGAACCACTTTATCTAAAAACTTAAGTTATTAGAGAGGCCACGTATATAAATATTATCTTCAACAAAGAATAGGCTGGGAGGTAGGGTAAAGATCTCGCTTTTTTAATATAAATTGAAGAAATAAACAAAATCAACCTGGGTGACATAGTTGCCATACTGGTCCTGAATAAGAGCGCAAACTGACTCCAAAATCTCATCCACTATAAACTGTGTCTGCAACTGATCATTACAATGCTCGAGGACCCTCTTCAAACCAAAATAAATAAATAAATAATAAATGAAACATCTCTATAATAACAGAAATAAGGAAGTGAACAGCAAAACAACAGTCCCCCCAATTACTGATGCAAAATTACCTGTATGACACGGCAACCATAAGGATGCATTGAAAGTGTTGCAACTTGACCGCGGAACGAAGAAATTATAAAACCAATATCAGAAGCTGGAATGCTCTCTATGCACTTCTGTATTACATGATTCCCATTTTGATCACGAACACATCTCATCACATGTCCATCCAGCTCTCTGACAAGCTTTGCCTTTTGCTCTAACTCGATAACTTCAAGAGCCTATAGAATAAATCAACCAAATGTAAGATGAATTTTCCCATCATTATTATCTCAGATTGTATGGGGAAAACAAAGTAGGAAGAAAACAGTATTAACGTCAATGTAGATTCCATTTTGATAAGCTAAACTGAAGAAGTGGAGAAATTATATCCTAGGTATAAACTATAAAGAATAAAAAGATATTAAAATACGATATTATATCCATTGGGGAGGACAGACTGAACCTCAAGAATTTATGGTAACTGTTAGACAAACAATAAGAAAATGTATGTTGACTTCATCTGATCAAATCTAGATAATTGTTCCAGGTCGAAAGCAATTGACACGTCATCCCTTTACCAAACTTGAACAACAAGAAGTAAGCCATATTACTAATAAACTTGGGTCATAACAAGAAACTTTTGTCATTCTGTATGATCCAGAGCTACCTCTTCTAAACTTATCGAACTGGACAAATTTGGATTATATTCAGGTAATGCATAACAGCATAGGTGGGCTCAACCAGGGCCGGTTCTGTGATTTTCAGAACCTGAGACGAACCTTATAAATTAGGCCCTCAAATTTTTTTTCCCTTTGATCCCTATGTAGTCACGCTCATGGCCAGTGCGATCTTTAACTAAAGTGTATTAGCTTTACAAGTCATAACATACTTAAAGATCGAACCTGCGTAGAAATGTGGGGTCATGTTCGAGCCTTGGGGCAATGCGAACTGCCCCCTTGTACCTCAACAACCAGGTGAAAAAGAGTAGGAGAATGAAAATACACTTATCAATTAATTACTCACTAAAAATTAATGACTAAGAGATTACAAAACAATTAGAATTATAAACTTATGTAAACATCAATCATATAGTATAAAAAGTCTACACACATCTGAATGATATTGAAATCAAATTAGATCAATAAAAATGCCATACAATTTGTAAATTTTGATTTAAGTGAAAAAAAAAATCAACTAAAACGAAAGAAATATGAAGGTAGAGAAAATCAATACAAAAAAATTCAACAAAATACTTTGGAACATATCTCAAAATCTCAGATTATAGAAGGTAAATAATAACAAAAATCCAAATATTTAGATACACAAAAAAAAAAAAAAAATTGAAATCTAAATAAAAAGTAATTTTCCTACTCCAAAGAGAAAAGTAAGTTACATAAAACATTTTGTATTTTGTAGAAAAAAGGTTACTTAAAACTAACTCTACTTTTTTAAATCTTCACAAAAATAGTCATAAATTTTTTATTTTTAAATACTTAAATGGTTTTTCAAAAATTGTATAGAACCAAATGCCTTATTAGAACAATACACCTTAATCACCATATTAAAATCTCGCATAATCCTATCCTTCCTAATTCATCCCCCAAGCTATATAATGTACCAGAAGCACCCTAAATGTCAGCAAGTTGTCAAGTTCAATCAAAATCCGCTGGTATTAGTATATTTAGTTTCCAATTTTGATGTGTATTTTAGAAAAAATGGACAAAGTTTGATTTAATAGATTTTATTACGTATTTCCTACTTAGAATAGGATTTTTTGAAAGTCCATATAAAGGGGAATTCTGCATTGTAATAGAAACAACTTTGATAATGAAATAAAGATTGATATTATCTCCCTTGTTTCTCTTCCATCTATCTAGTTCTTCTTCCCTATCTACCTCCCTCCTTCTATCTTCCCCTCTTCTTCTCCTTCTCCTTCTCCCTCCTTTCTCTTCTCCCCTTCTCCTGTAATTGTTCTTGTTGCATCCTACATCAATACCATTACTTTAAACTAGTATAATTGTGCATCACATATAATGCTGGACATGGACATAGGGTGAAATGAAGAATGGGGGTTTGGAGGATGAGGGATCTACCAACATGAAAAAATAGTAACATCTAAATGAGACTTCTTACACAACACATTGTCACTTGCACATGAATTGCATCAAGAAGCACTGCCACATTAGAGACAGGATATTACCTTTTGGATTACACGACAGCCATACATCTGCAAACTTAAAGGCAAAATTTGATCTGTTAATTGATTTGCAAGGTCTTTTTGTTGTTTTGGGGTACCATATTCAAATAGCTGCACGACATTTAAGAAGAGCAAATTATGCAATCATATGAATACTTGCGAATAAAAACAGGAAGAATCTACCAATAATGTCAAATAATTTGGGACAGCACCTTCTGAATCACATAGTTGCCGAAAACATCAGTCATTAGTTTGGAAGCAAGGGGGACAACTTCCTTGAACAAAGACTCCTTCTCTTCGGCACTACAATTTTCCAGCTTCTGCTGAATGAATCTACTTCCATGTTGATCAACACTGAAGACATAATTGGAAAGTAAATTTCGACCCGTTACAGTAATTGATAATATGTACATAAGAAAATCTGGGATAGCATAGAACTTGCCTAACTTCAGCAATATGTCCTGCTATATCAGACAACTTGTATCTTTGACCTTTACCCGATTTCAACTCTTCAAGAAAAGAAAATGAATTGGTATCTTCACCACTTGGACTTTGAAGTCCAAAAGAATTGCCTGCGTTTCCACAGGAAGCCTGAGAAAGACTCGTGTTATTTCTCCCTCTGGAAAAAGTGTTTCCTCCTACAGGTGTTCCTGACAAAACTGGACTAATGACAGGTGAGGTAGGAAATTGCATCAAAGGGCCAACATTTATTGGGCTTCCCAAAGAAAAATAACTTGGTGTGCTCCCTCTTCTTGGATTCAAACTGTTAAAGTCTGCACCTGATGGATTCAGGAATCTCTGATTGGTTGGATAAGCAATAATCTCTGGGCCACTTTTAGGGTCACAAGCATTCACTTGACTCACAATTGCACCATCTCTTGGCGTTGGATGACCAAATTGACCATACAAACCATAGGAATCTCGCACAGGTTGTCGAATGTATTGCATATGAAAAGGATCGGATAGAGGAGGTTGCATGGAAAATCCAACTTGTCCATAGAACTTCTCTGGATGTCGCATGTCATATCCATGTACACTTCCTCCCTCTGGGACGCCAGAAGCGGGAAAGACAGTAGTATTTTCAATAGGCAGGGGAACAGCACCATGAGGGGCAGATCTAGCCAGAAATGAGGGAAGAACAGCAGGGTGGAAAGTGTATCCACCCACACCATGTTGTGAAGTGAAGTAGCCACCTGGCTGAAGACTAGGATAAAATTGATTTGGTGTGGTCATAAAAGCAGCTGCCGAGGCATAGAGTGGAGGAGTGAATCCAGATGACTGGAGTATTGGCTGTACCTCTGCCGTAGAAATGCTAGAGGAACCATAGTGAAAATGGTTTGAGCTATATGCACGAATTAATCCTGGATAACTGATCTGAGACTGAGAGCCCTGAACTCGAGAAGCATTGCCTTGTTGTGAAAATGTTTGCTGCTGCAGCATATTGTTATAGGAGAAGACTTGCACGTTGTGTTGGATTTTGTTGTAATCAGAATTTGAAGCACTAGATAAGTTAACACCCTCAATGCCAGATTTAATATGGGCAACATCCAAATCACTTACCCCAGTAGTCAATAAATTATCTTTTGAATCAAGATTTACAGTATTTAAGTGTGTTTTGAGTAGAGACGGCCTAATAAGTGTACCCCTTGTACCATCAATAAGTGGCGGGCTTGAAACAGGGGCAGTAAGAGGATTGCATTGTGAGACTTGCCTCGTATCATCTGCACTGGGAGCACTTGCAGCAGAAGTTGATGCACTGAAATCAGCTTCTAACTCAACTTCTTTTTCCATTGATTTATGGCTCGGGGAGCAATACTGACTGTATGAGGGTAAAGATGTCTGGAGGGGATCTTCCTACAAATAATAATTTTTATTTTATCATCACTTTTAAGTTAGAACTGATGAGTACGAAAATATGCAATTGAAACAAAGAACCGAAGAACCAAAGATGCTTCATATATTTATAGTTGTTACACTGTCAAAGAATATATGGTTTAAAATGCCTCTAAGAACAATGGAATAGAAGTTAAAATCAGTTGTAGATGGCTATTATGTTTTGAAATGGTATTTCTTTCCAGAGGAAGATGAAAGGACTGCAGCATTTATATCCTGCCACAAAAAAAAATTGTTTTTCTTTTACATAGAATAATGTTTTAAAAGGTTACTGCAATGTTTATAAATACTTCCTTAAAGTTAATATTAAAATCCTGCCTCCATCAGTTTTCTTTTCTTTACAAGAAGCTTATAATACCTGTGTCAAGTCAAATGTATCCTCATGGTGACCCAATAAAACAGCTTTCTCTACAGACAGAGATCCACTCAGTTCAGATGATCTGTCATCCTCAGGTTCTTCCTCATGAGCAGGAAGGTTACCCATAGGCAATAGCATTGAACCATCATTTGAAGAAATCTTCCAATCACGGCTGGTACTATTACTATGGTGAGAGAGACGACTTCTTTCCCACAAGTTAATATGCTGTCCGAACTTTGGGTCCAATTTGACATCAGAACTATACTTCGAAAAAGAAGCGGACTCAGCAAAATATTTCACTTCAGTCTCAGAGATGTCAGCAGAGACGCTTGAATGTACCAGGCCAGGATTCAAAGCGGATGTCCGCCAAGAAAAGATATTCTCAAGTGCTACTATAGAACCCTCCATGCTTGGGGGTGCACTCTCACTCCGGTGTGGTATCATTTCCTTCCCAAGGCCTTGAATCCTGTCACCTTTTAGGAACAAACTAAGATCTTCAATGGCTGTGTTAGCAGGTGCTGGTTCATACCTGGTAGACTGCTTATGGGACAGCCAATTGTCAGTCCCTTCTAAAACCCTAGTAAGGCTTTCAGTCGCCATTCACTAGATATGATTGCCCTTGCTTAAATCTTACTAGCAGTGCACAGTCTCCTATTAGCCACAAAGTAACCACCCTCAGTCCACATTTCATAATTCAAGAAATAATGGTGGAAGAGACCAACATACAGATTTTAAAGAAAAAAGTACATAATTTATACAGCATTTGGTACAAAATGTGCAACTCAATAAGTGAGCTTCCTTTAGATTAAATTGCACAGAGATCAAAACTTTATCAAATGAAATATTTTAAATTCCGCTGCTATGTAAGTGGATAGTTGAGTATTGCTAAATATATCACATGCAGTCCTTCCATTAAATCAATTAAATATTAGTATAAAATAATATACAATGCTTCTGCAGTAACCACATCAACTACTTACCATATCCAGACATCAGTTCATATCTCAATAGTTATTAAGGTCCAAGGATATCTTTAGTTGAGCTCTTAGTTGGATAAAACCATTACTCCAAAAAATATACGGTAACATCACAATTTGAAGCCAAGCAAAAAAAATCCCATCGAAATTGCTTCATCTTGCTTATCTTTCAGAATTATTGCAAATTATGTTTCCTTTCCTCGGTATATAATTTAAAAACTTCCACATGGACCAAATGCAATTTTAAATTGAAGTAAACATAGAAAAAAAAAGTTCTAGAGGGCTGCACGTGCATGCAGAGGCATAGATGACAAGTGGAGTATTTGATCTTGGAAATCCCTTCTAATGTGATGGGTGCTACCAGTATGACTTAATTTTGTGTGTGTGTGTGTGTGTGTGTCTCCTTACTTCGTAAGATCATATTAATCCTATTGTCTGCACCAGCTCACTCCACATAATCTTCAGTCAATTTTTCTCTCTCTCTTTCTTTCTTTCTTTTTATTTTTTTCAAGGATGCAATTTCAAACAGGAAAAGTACATGAACTATTCCATTGCAAAATAAAATTCGTACATGTGTTTTGTAAATAAACTCCATACATGACTAAAGAGCATGTGGAGTAACAATAAAAAACTACTTGTAATAGATAGTATCACTGTAGATACATGGTAGTTAATGTAGCATTCCCTCCCAAAAAAAAAAGGAAAAGAAAAAATGAATCAACCACAAACAACCATAGCATTCATGAGATAGCATCTAGTGACAGTAGTACTAAAAAATTTCCCATTACTACGAGCTTGCACCAAGGAGCTATCCTGAGTCTTACCTTGTAACTCTGATCATGGATGAATTTACAAGAGAAATCCAGGATGAAATACATTAGTGTTAATTAGTTATAAAATGAAAAAATGCATTAACAAGTTAATGTGGCACCAATTGCGGATAAATGTAGGGAATAACTTTGGTGCTTGGCTCATGGCATATATAGAAGCTCTCATTTACAAGCACAAATTTGTCCCAATAAATAAAGAACCAACTTTGTATGTTCCTATAACTGGTCATAACATGATACGATAAAGCAGGAAGAGCAGTGTGATGGTCAATGTGTATGGATGTGGTTGCAGGTCGGGCAGAGCAAGACATTTTAAAAAAATTGTCCTTGATGTTTTGAACCCAACTAAACCCAGGCAAGTGGAACTCGCCACAGGCGAGTATAAGCACATAAGATACAATTATTTCTTTCTGCCAGTGTTTTTGAGATAGTTTTTGGTAACTAAAGCATATTGACATATGTGATCAACACTATTGTGTTAGTACCAAGGAAAAAAAAAGGCCTTGGATAACATGTGATGTGACGTTCTCTCTCTCTGTCCCCCCTCCCTCCCACGAAGACATATTACTCCCTCAGGCACAATTTCACCGTGATCCATTAAGAACAAAGCCAGATGCATTCAATTTTCATAATTTAAAGTAAAGTTTATAATCCGTGACATTGGTGTATGGCTTAGTTTTACTTATCATAAGCGTTGGAAAGTTTCATATTTCTCTAAGAGAATCTCGGTTGTAAATGTGTGAATATCATAGGATATTTAGTTTCCTTAAGTTAGAATTTTTTATTCTTTTCTTTCCTTTAATTTATTTTTTCCTTCTATTCTTCCGCTGTAATTCTATTTATCCAGACATGTACCTATGTTATGATTAATGAGAATTATTATTTCCACAAGTTTTTCTCTCATTCTAGATGGTATCAGAGCCCGTTAAGCTCCAACGAACAATTCGATTCGATTAAAACTCAAAAAAAAAAAAAAAAAATTTGAGCACGCGGATTTCAAAATTGATCTACTCAAACGAATCACAATCTTGCGGGGGCATGTTAAGGGATAGAATCTCACATCGAATAAAGATGAAAACATATACATATTTATAATGGTTTTGATTACTCCTCTTAATAAGGTTGACCTTTTAAAATGAAACTTCAAATCTTAACAATAAGATATACACTATAAGATAATCACACATATTTAGAAATAAAATAAGTCAGAAAACATTGACAGGTCGTTTGCCCCACCCAAAAGAAAAGTTGAAAAAACACAGTGCTCGTTATTGGATACTCCACTGATTAAATGATGGTTTTTTTAATATCAAGAGCACTTCTATAGATACAAAAAACACCTATGTAAAAACTAAGCGTTCTTCTGAGCCTTGAATTAGTTAAAACTAAGTGATGATAAGATGGGAAAACAAAAATCATTTTGGTTTTTCATTCGTACGCTGATAGTGCACGAAGTATAAACAGCCTCCACCCACTTAGCCAAGTACAATTACCCAATAGGTTCTTTCCAATCTGTACCCTAGAGTTCTCCCTGACATCCAAATGGAGAATTGAATTCCTCAATTTAATATGGATATATCAATCAAACCCTCTTCATCTATAGATAGCAGAACTAAAGCTACAAAATTGATTAACAGAAATTCGAGAAAACCAATGAGTTACTCATGGAAACAAAGTCAACTTTATCAGTAGAAACCAAGAAAACTTTGATCAAAGCAAAACTCACCAAAAAAATCAACCTTTTTTTGCAGGTTTCATAAGATAAGAAACAAACAAACAAAAACCCATCAATCAGAAAAGAGAAAACACTTATTGTCCATTTAACATAACAAAAAGTCAAGAAATGAAATTCCATAAAGAACCTTACCTAAATACTCAGAGCTACTTATCAGTATTCATTGAACAAAACCCTTGATTCTGCTGCAGAGAAAAGGAGACAGAGGGAGAATCTTTGTGCTTCTATTACGGGGTGTAAAGGGGCATATGAGCATATGTTAAAATGAAATAGAATGGGGGGTTTTTGTTTGACAAGCTAACTAAAGTACAGACAAAGAAATCGGGTTTTGCTAAAAACGGAGGAAAAAGTGCTAATTCCAGATAACGTTGTCACTTTTTACAATAATGACATCAAGTTTTTGTCCGTCATTGTGCATGAGTGCTGCTATAAATGGCAACAGCAGACAAATCCAATACTAAGAAGTAGGGCTGTTCGTGAGTCGGCTCAGTTCACAATTCCAGAGAAAGTTGTCACTTTTTACAATAATGACATCAAGTTTTTGTCTGTCATTGTGCATGAGTGCTGCTATAAATGGCAACAGCAGACAAATCCAATACTAGAAAGTAGGGCTGTCCATGGGTCGGTATTTAATAAATGGAACCGTTGGATCCAAATATAATTATGGAACATTCGGGTTCGGTTCTATTCCGTACCATAATTAAATTTTTTTAATATTTACCGCAACACTACATAAGTACAATTAATGACATTTCATTCGTAATTTTTACAAATTAACGTAGCTCAATTCAAAAACACATAAATAATTAACTGTCCAATAAAATTAATTCA